ATCATGGGAAGAAACTCTTTCAATGCCAAAACAGCTACACTAGGGAACTTGGAGCAAGTCCACTGTGTTTATATGGATTCTGTATCACTGCTTTTATACATGGAAATAAATAAATACCTGTAAGAGAATAAATGCATGAATAGCCTATAAATATCCCCAGGGAGTGTCAGAAAGGTGGGACCAGGCTCTTCTCAGCAGTGCCCAGTGACAGGACAAGGGGCAATGGGCACAAGCTGGAACATTGGAAGTTCCGTCTAAACATGAGGAGGAACTTCTTTACTATGAGAGTGACAGAGCCCTGGGACAGGCTGCTCAGAGAGGTGATGGAGTCTCCTTCTCTGGAGACATTCCAGACCCATCTACACATGTTCCTGTGGGATCTACTGTAGATGATCCTGCTCTAGCAGGAAGTTGGACTAGATGCTCTCCAGAGGTCCCTTCCAACCCTGATGACTCTGACTCTGTGACTCTCTGTGAAGGTTGAGTGAGCTCCAAAGCTCCCTCTGGAGCTGCTCTGGGGAACTGAGCTCAGGCTCTTCCTGCAAGCCCTGCTCCTGCCATGGGGCCTCCGAAAGAGAAACATGGCCCAAGATGACCAAGCTGGAGCTGGAAGCTGCTATTCGACAGCCAAAGTCAGGGCAAAAGCAAAAGGAGGAGTCATGGCAAACTGCCTGGCAGGGCTGGCACTGCTGGAAGGAGCTGGGTGTGGGTGCCACCACCCCACCCCTCTCCAAAGCTGCCATAGGTGGATGTGTGGGGCTGGGCCTGACTGATACCATCCAAACCCTTTCTCAGTGCTATGTCTCATCTTCCCTGCATTGCTCCAGAAGAGCAGGGAGATGTTAGGTGAGTAGCGTGGGCTGGGTAACAGTTCTGGTTGTCACCATGGTATGGGGACCTGCCAGCCCAAACCAACTTTACATTAACACCTCAAGCATCTTCAGGGTCCATTTCCCTTCCCTTTTTTTCCAAAAATACACAACATTTTCCATACATACACAACATTTCCCTTACATATACAACAGAAACTGTGGCTGCCCCATCCCTGGAAGTGTTCAAGGGCAGGTTGGATGGGGTTTGGAGCAACCTGGTGTCCCTGCCCATGCAGGGTTTTTGATCTAGATGATCTTGAAGGTCCCTTCCAACCCAAACTATTCCATCACCCTGTGGTTCCAGGACAATTTCTTAATATTGTTGCAACTTCTATGCTAATGTTCTCTTGGAAGCAGAGTGATTTTGGTGGATCCTCTAGGCAAGAAGACTTACTGGAAGTGTTCTGAGGAAATGCTTTCAGGTAGTTTTGCAAACACCCACTAATGTTTTATACATGCAAAAATCTGTGGGGTTACAATGTTAATAACAGGCTGCCAGGGCTGAACTCCCCAAGATTGAATCATAGCGTCGCTTTAAAATATATATGTCAGGGCCACCTCTGTGATTTTCTGAATCAGGCAATGAGAAACCCCTTGGGAATTTGGATCCCTTTGGGTTTGGGTTTGTTGTTTTTTTTTTAATTAAAAGTCATTTCTACATTTGCCATCCTAAGCACACTATTTAAAAGGAGTTGGTTAAATATTCACCTTTCCAAATCGGGGCGTATTTGCTAATTGAAATGGTGTTAGATCCCCCGGGGGGCTGAGACTGAGCTTCAAATGTGGCATGAAACTCAGATTTTCACCTCAGCAGGTCAAGCTGGGCACAGATTGGTGCTGTAACAGTTAGTCCTCTGTATCACGGAATGATGGAATGGTTTGGGTTGGAAGGGACCTGAAAGATCATCTGGATCCCACCCCCTGGCTGGACAGGGACACCTCCCACCAGCCCCAAAAACCCTCCTGAGCAACCCTAAATAAACCTGTTGCTCCTCATTTCCCTGCCCCCCCCAGGTGTGAGGAATGACCAGCTGTGCCAGAGCATTGCTCCCTTCCCCACATTCTTGTTCACTCCTCTCCACTCTTCTAAGCATTTTCCTCATGGAATTGTGACCATAACCACCAGGAAAGGGACTGGAGGTAAAGTGGTTTATTCCAAACCAGACAGAGCAATTCCCAGCTCCCTCTCACCCTCCCACTTGAACCAAAATGAACTTTCTCCCCTCGTGTTCCTTCCTGGGCTCGGCCAGGAATGTTGTTGCAGAGGAGGAGACATTTCATGCTCAGCTGGGGTTTCATGCTCAGGCTGCCACGTCAAGCCCTTGCACTGGGTTAGATTCTTCCCTTGGAAGAGACTTGGCCATGAAATGAGGAGCCAGGCCGTGCTGAGCTCTGCAAGGAGTGGCTCTCCAAGGTGATCCTGGCACCGCAGCCACGCAGTGACTCCCAACCCTGTAAACACACCCTAACCAGCTTTCAACTAACGAGCACACTTACAACTAATGCCAGGTTGGGTTCTTATGCATTCTTGGAGGTCATGACGTCAGGCAAAGAAAACAAACCCCAGTTTTCTAAGGATCTGCAGGGGTGAGTCCTGCAGAACCTCCAACTGGCCACAGAACCCACGGGCTCCCACGGGAGCCCCATCCCAGCAGCTGCAGGAGCCTCGTGGAGCAAACAAGAGCAGGTTTGATGCTGAAAACGGTGACATTAAAAGAATTTGGGGATGGGACTCTGCTGGTCACGTGCTGCTGAGAATAGGGTAATCAACACCAAGAGTAAGCAGAACAATTAGTGTAATTACACGTCGAATTTTGTTTGGGGAGTAATGGAAGGGAATGTACAAATATGACGTTACTTTCTTGCATCAGCCTGGTGGTCCAGGAAGGTATATAAAACCATTCATGATTCAGAAAGCTTCCAGCAGGTTGCCCTGACTTCTCCTCGGTGAACTGAGTAAGTTGGATCCTGATATTACCCCCTTTTCTTAAAAAGAATATTTTTTTTTTTAAAGTATAATTTAAAAAATATTTCTATTTGCTTCAAGCCTGATATTTTTATTAATATTCTGTGCTTCTGGGCAGTGTTCAGCTGCTTATTTTCAGGAGTCATTTGTTAATAATCTGCACATCAGCTGCACTGATGCATTGAGGTTTAAAAATACATTGGAAATCTAGATATTATTGAAGATCTAGAATATATATCTAGTTGTAGATATAGATATAAATATATATATCTTTATAAGGTGTATAGAAATATGGTAGCCTTAAAATAACTTAGTAAATAGCTGGGAATGTTGTTCTGACTTTGTGGCTTCTAATTTTTATCGTGTTTTGGTATCATGTGTCAATCTTGAGATAATCCATATATAGATGTGAGGTGGTGAAACAGCTGGAGTCACCTCTGGGAGCAGAGCCAGGCATTAGGACATAGCACCTCTGTGGATGTGGTTCTCCAGGGTTCCTGGCCTTTGGGAGGTCCCCTCCTGGGACCCTGTTGGTCACTTGCTGTCAGTCTGAATGGCCAAAGCTTTGCTAAATCATCTGAAGGAGAAATGGGAACCCAGAAAATGTCTGCTTAGGGTGTATGATCCTTGGGAAGTTGCTTTGGGTGGTTTTGTTCTGCTGATGCAAAGCAGTGGTGTCATGCAAAGTGTCCAACAGGCTGGGTGAGAATCTATTACCCACTAGAAATGTTTTGTGCTGGGTTTTTGTGCTGGATGTTGTGTGTTTGGGGTGGTTTTCAGCTGCCCACTTGCTCTGCTTTGCTTTCTGCTGAGGGGTTTGCAGGTCCAGTCAATGCAGAATTAAGGGAAGCAGTAGAATGAAAGGCTGGGAATCTAAGATAGTGTCTGGATTGAAGGTCAGGAGAAGTTTAGGTGAATAATGGGTACTTTAACATTGTGTTTAGAATGAAACTGGGTAAAATTGCTTGAATCAAACTAAGTCCCACCCAGGCTGTTCTAGATGCAGCTCAGTTAGACAAAAAAAATAGCAATTGCCTTGGCTGAAATAAAAATATTAGATTTTAATTGAAACAACAGATTCAGTAGCTCCTTTGTTTGGTGTTTTGTTTGGAACTTGGATAAATTTGAATGACATTTATTTTGCAATGTACTTCTATGATATTTTCCAAATTACCTTCCTACCTTTCAGTTTCTTTCAAAAGGAAGAAAGAAGGTGTAAAATCTAGTCCAGGTTTGTAACCATTTTGCTCCCTGTGAAATTTAAATTCAGGAGACCTTTCATCTGGTTTTTGCTGAGCTTCAGCTTTTTCCTTGTGATCTTGAAAAAAGCTCTTATTTGCTTAATTGTCCATGTGAGTGTGACACTAAATATGCTGGATTAAAGCTGCCTGTTATAAACTAACTGCACTGAAAACATAGTACTTGGTATCCTTGTGGGCTTGACTCCCTCACGTATAATACAGGGATTAAATATCTCCTTCTGCCTCTGGTCTGCTGAGCCCAGGTGACATGTACATTTGGTAGAGTAAAACCTCCCCTGGGTTTTCCTTTTCTTCAATGCCTGATGCTGTGTTACCCTCATTTTACTGAACTCTACCTCTGGAGTCCAAATTACATAGAAGAAAGCAGACATTGATTAAGGAGCAGTCCCAAAGAGGTGGTTTGATGTCTGCAGGAAGGAACCAGGCTCTGAAAGGTCACAGAGGAGAATCATAGAATCATGGAATGGTTCGAGTTGGAGGGACCTTCAAGATCATCCAGATCCAACCCCCTGCATGGGAAGGGACACCTCCCACCAGCCCAGGCTGCTCCAAGCCCCATCCAACCTGCCCTTCAACACCCCCAGGGATGGGGCAGCCACAGCTTCTCTGGCCAACCTGGGCCAGGCTCTCACCACCCTCATGGTGAAGAATTTCCTCCTAATGTCTAATCTAAATCTCCCCTCTTCAGGTTTGAACCCATCCCCCCTTGTCCTCTCACTACTTGCCCTTGTAAGAGAAGAGCAAAGCCAAGCAGACCAGATGGTTGTCAACCTGCCTTCCCATTTGTGTCTCTTCAGGGTTCCTACTAGCTCAGCTCAAGTGTTGATCCCATCCTACTGCCTCCTTTGATTTTATATTTGCTCCTTCCCACCCCTTGCAGGTCTCCAGCATAACTCAAAGATGTCCTGTGAGAAAACCCTCTGCAAGGAGCCCTGCTCTGTCCCCTGTGACCTGAAGTGCCCCGAGCCCCGCGCCGCGGCCTGCAATGAACCCTGTGTCATCGCCTGCCCGGACTCCCGTGTCATCATCTTCCCACCTCCCGTGGTTGTGACCTTCCCAGGCCCCATCCTCACCACCTACCCGCAGGAAACTGTGGTGGGCTCCACAGAGTCAGCCGAGCTGGCTGGGGCCTTGGAGTCAGGGGTGCCCATCACGTCAGGCCAGAAGGGCGTGGGGTGCCTGGAGCCCTGTGTCATCCCTCAGCTCACCAAGTGTGAGACCCAGTGTGTCCCCAGCTGTGCCACCACCTGTGTTGCACAGTGTGCCCCTCCCTGTCCCCCCCCATGCCCTGCTCCGTGCCCTGCTCCGTGCCCTGCTCCCTGTGCCACCAAGTGTGCCCCACAGTGTCCTGCCCCGTGTCCTGCCCCATGTCCTGCCCCATGTCCTGCCCCATGTCCTGCCCCATGTGCCACCAAGTGTGCCTCAGAGTGCTCCTACACCTATTCCACCCGCTGGAAGCATCCTTGCCAGAGGGGCTTCTGTAAGAAGATCTAATCACCTTCAAACCAAAGAATAATCCCAAGGAAAAAAAGAAGAGGCAAAGAAATGAAAGGATATGGCAAGTGACTGACAGGAGTGGCAACCGGAGAGGAAAGCTCAGCTGGAAACCAGGACCCTCCATGGAATTCTGATCAAATGCTTTAGCTTAGATGAATGCTTTCTGTCTTCTTGGGGCTTTGCATCTTCCATCTGCACTCTTAACTTTCTCTACCCAGTTTGACATTGAGGGTGGTTTGAAAACAAAGCGTAGAAAGGGATTTGAATGTCAGGTTCAGCAAGGATAAAGGAAGTGAGCAGCTCAATGGAACATGTCACACTGGGATAGGCAACTGCTTTTAGGTCTTTTTGTCTCTAGAAATAGGCTCTTTCTAGTCTGCATTACTCTTTCTGCAAATGTTTGACTCTGCATTTACATTAAAATGCTTCTGCATCCAACCATTGGCCTTCTGAATCTCCTTTTTCCTCTGCTACTTATTTGCAAAGCTCTCTTGGTGACACTCAGCCTTGTATGGAGGGACAGAAGGTGTCCTGAAGACTCTTCCTACACCACTTGAGACTAGATGGCCAGGTAAAATGTAGGATTTGGTTCTGCTCTCCAGGCCCCTGGATGAAAATGGGGTATAAAGCAGGTTGTAGCCTGGAAACCAGTGAGCAGAATTCCTAGAGAAACAAGGTTCTGTATTTTGTAGTTTTACACATCCAAGTCAGAGCTAAATGTGTGGTTTTTGAATGTCCTGTTCTATTCCATAACCAGTCCTACCTGGAGCCCTTCTAGAAATCAACCAGACTGAGCCAGATTCATGATATTCTTCCTATTTCTGCATCAAAACTTTCCCAGCTTGTTTTTTTTTTGCAAAGAACTTGTTGACATGGAAGTGTTGAAAGCCACGTGTGGACCTGGAGCACCAGTTTCTTTCTTGCTCCTGGATGTCCTGCTCAAAGCCTACATCTGCCCAGCTGGTGCCAGCAGTGGGTCCCTCTAGGCAGAAGGACATCAGGTGTGTCCTGCTAAAGCCAAGCAATTTCAGATGCTGTTTTTATACTAAATATTATGTTAATGTCATTCTTCAATGATGTGTGTTTGCTTCTTTCAGTCCCAGCCTTTTGGTGCCTGGGAAATCCCACGTCATCCTTGTAATTATACCCACCCAGAAATATCTGGAGACTTCCTCAGAACAAAGGGAGTCAGGTTGCTTCACAAACATGCACTGATGTATTACACATGTAAATTGGTATGTTAATCTCATGTTAATAGTATATTGCTTGGGTTACATTCCCCAAGACTCTGTAATGACTGAGTTGGGAAGAAAAAAAAAAGAAAGGTCCTGGTTTCCCACCTGTTTATCTCCATATCTTCTCAGGGTATTTTTTTTCCCTAGTAAACTGGTGATTTTCACTCTAAAGTTGCTTTTCTTTTTTTTTATATGATGATACTTTTCATGTCAATGATCAAGACATAGGGCTGTTTCCAACCAGCCCAAATCTGAGGGGCTCGTGGGCTGTATTTGAACTCAGCCTAGTTGTTCCAGAAGTGCCAGTTCACTCTCCAGGTGACCACATTTTAAAACAAGATGGTTTTTTAAACATTAAAAAAGAAAAAAAAGGGAGGTGGGCTGGGGGTGCAAAAAGCAGTTTTTATCCCTCTATTGAGTAGAGTTTCATAGTTGAAAGAGCTAAAAACCCAGCAGCCTGGGTGGTTTTATTAGGGAAACCACTCAATACAAGCCTGTCAAACCCCAGGCAATCAGGCTAGAACAACTTAATGCTGGGCAGTCACAACTACCAACATTGTCCCCCCCAGCTCCTCACCACAAACCCGACCAGTCCTAGAGGTTAAATGAATTGGATATTTGAGGAGAGAGCTAAACATAGAAAAAGAGGAAAAGCTGAGCATTAAATCAGCTCTGGAAGTGCTACCTAAGCTAGAAACACAAAGGTGTTTGATGTCAACCAGGAACCTTTCCTCCCATGTCTGGGCAGGTCAAATGGGGCAATCCATGTCTCCAGCACAGGACTTGGAGGTTCCTCTTCATTCCCAGCACCTTTCATAGCCTGGGGGATGTGCTTTGGGGCATGCTGCTCTCTCCTATGGGAACAGAAAGGTGCTGGTGGGGCTGCAGGACCCAGCTGGGATGCAAGTCTGGTCACCCAGCACCACGCTGGGGCTGCTGCCCTCCTGTGGCATCAGCTCAGGCTGACCCAGACCCCGAGGAGAAGGCAAATCAGCAGGAACTACAAAACCTATCTGCAAATCCAGACGTGTGCTCCAGGCAAGTCTAGGTCTGTGCTCCAGGCAGGTCTAGGTCTGTGCTCCAGGCAAGTCTAGGTGCATGTTCCCAGCCAGGGTGATCATGAAACAGCCATGAAGTGACCTGGGTTGGTGGCCAGAGCCCTTGCTGCCACTCCCATGCTCAGGAGAGTCTTCATCAGTGTCTACTCCTGAAGATCAGCCCAGTGATAAGTCTGTGCCAGTCCCTCCCTTAATATCTTTTCTCTGTCTACACCACACAACAGCTCCAAGTCTCCTGCCAGTCACTTTCCCAGCTGTTTTGGTCTTCACCACTCTTCCCATCTCTGATATTTTATGGCAAGCAAGTAGCTATTATGTCACTTTTTACAGGAAAGATAATTGCTGCCTTCAAGCTAAATGACTTGCTTCCATGGAGGAGCTTGGATTAGACTGAGCTGTTGGTAACTTTTGAAATGTCTAATATAAATTATAGTCTTGCCTAAACACCACAGCTAAATGTTACTATTTGGCTGCCCTGGTAGAAATGATGTAACAGACACTTCTGGGCTGGTAGCAAAACAAAACTTAACAAAGGAATGTGAAAAAAGGTCAGTGGCAGGAGAATTGATTCATGTTTAGAGTTGAGGCAGGGACATTGCCACAGTTTGACCAGCTCAAACCAGGACAGACACTCAGTAAGTGGCACTTTCAAAACAACTATTCAATATTAAATATTTGGAAATGCTTGGCCCTGTGAGCCTGTCTGAGGCCCCACAAAAGCCCCATGGGGTGAGTGCAGGAGTCTTCACCTTTCTGTCACTCCTCTTCAGGGCTACCTGGCCCCAAGCAAGGCACCCTGTGCCCATGTTATTATCATAGAACCATGGAATGGTTTGAGTTGGAGGGACCTTCAAGATCATCTAGATTCAACCCCTTGCATGGGCAGGGACACCTCCCACCAGCCCAGGCTGCTCCAAGCCCCATCCAACCTGCCCTTCAACACCCCCAGGGATGGGGCAGCCACAGCTTCCCTGGGCAACCTGGCCCAGGGTCTCTCCACCCTCATAGTGAAAAATTTCCTCCCAATGTCTAATCTAAATGTCCTTCTTCCAGTTTTAAGCCATCACCCCTTTTCCTCTGACTACAAACCCCAGTAAAAAAAAAGTCCCTCCCTTCTTCCCTTCCTCAGAGCAGCTGTGCCAAAACACAACACAAAGGTCAACACTGTGAATGCACTCAAAGGATTGACAGGTTTCAACAATTATTCTCTCCTGAGCAAGCACCATTTTCAAAGCAGTGAGGAGTGTTTCACCACAGGCACCCTGCTCACAATGCCCACATCCCTCATTAAGATTTAATCTTTGCATATGAATCAGGCCTGCAAATCTTCAAGGCAATACTCCTGAGTTTCCAAAACCTGAGTCAGTAAGACATGCTAATGAACCCAAAGATATTATTTTGCCAAGGTAATGCATGAGAGGTGGGTCCTCCCATGATCCAAGTTACTCTTCCCTCCCTGTTACAACTCTCTGCCAGCTTAGCAGCAGCCAGGCTCTAAAGGGACATGAGCAAGAGATGTTGGCCAAACCAGAAAGGCACAGAGACTAAACCTGAAAATACCCTTTCAAACATGCACATCTGGAGCTGAAAACCATCCCAAATCACATCAACTGTGTGTAAACCAAAGACCTGTTTGAGAACGGAGGAAATGAACCTGGAGAAGCCAGGCTGGTGACAAGGCTTATGATGGTGGTGGCTGCACTTCAGCCAAAAAGGTCAGGATGGAGCTCTGTGCCCTCATCACTCCTTGCCATAAAGAATAGTTGTGTTCCTGCCCTTCACCTGCTCATGTTTTGTTTTGTTGACCAGTTTGCAGCCAGAGTGTCAAAACAATCTCTGGATTTTGGTGAGTCACTAAGGAGATCCCTGGAGCAACAGCCTGGGAAAGTCTTGGGCTTGCTCAGAACAGGAATTGCAGGAGCTGTAACAATGCTGGTCCCTGCTGGTGTGTGGGGCTGGTGGGATCCTGGGAATGGCTGGAGTAGAATGGCCAAGTGCTGACTGATCATTTCTCTCTCTAACATCACACTGGGGATGTTTCCCCAGGGAGATGAAAGCCTCAGAAATGATGGTCACATTGTTAATTAAACCAAAACTGTTTGGTTTGAGGGCTTTTTTTTCAAGTCTACAGGCCAAGCCCCCACCTGGGCACACAGCTAGGAGCATGGCCAGGGCCAGGAGCCAGCAGCAGGGTGCAAGATGTTGCATTGTACAGAGAGGACAAGGGGGGATGGATGAAAAGTGGGAGAGGGAGCTGGAGGTTGGAGCTGAGGAGGGAATTGTGGAGTGTGAGGGTGGGGAGAGCCTGGCCCAGGTTGGCCAGGGAAGCTGTGGCTGCCCCATCCCTGGGGGTGTTGAAGGGCAGGTTGGATGGGGCTTG